TTCGCCCTTCCTTGGCAACTCGAAGGAAAAAAGGATACAATGAAGTCAGAACCGAGAAAAGAGGGCGTGCCCTGCTAGTCGTGTGTGTTCCTTTTAAATTGGTTGAATTTCCGCACGAATTAAATTTTTTCCTGCCGAGTTAAGGAGCGAAGAATATTTCACGCTTGGGCAGATTGACGACGGGAGGGCAGGGAATATTATAGAGTCCTTTCCGGAATATTTCACACTTGGCCCGTACAAATCAGCGACACGTGGCAAGTGCCATATAATTTATAATAGCGAAAAAAGGGCCGGGAGACTCCAAAAACTTCGAACTTCGGTGGGTGTCGAATTTGATACGCGCAATCTGGTAAAGAATTTTCCAACATTTTTCAGCGGCGGAAACCTTAAACTCTTCGTCGCTCGCCTTCTGTCTGCGACTTTCCACTGAAGCGGCCAGTTCATTTGGCTTAAATTGTATTATCCCCATTCTGCTTCAAATGGAAAATTAATATTTCCCTTTGTGTCGTTTTAAAGAATATTTTTGTAATTTCCTACAATCTCTTTCAAAGAAAGCGGTTTCGTCAACCATTTCCATGGCTTTTACGCTGGAACTGCTCCTTTCAACTGGCCAAACCTTTCTTGGAGGTCCCTCGGTAGCCCTCTATCCGTGCATATGTCCGATTCATATCTAAATCTATTACAATTCATATTTGTATGCCGCGCACACAGAGAACATCCCTCCCTTCTGAAAATTTGTATCTGGCCAACGGCAAGACACCACACTTCACTGGGATACGTTTTTATGGATGCTTTTCTGGTTTAATTGATATTTCTAACAATATCTTAGTCTTAGAAGGCACTCTGAGACAGTGAGCAAAAAACTTAAATTATTTGTATGATAAGTTGGTACTTTTCGCTGAAAAGTCCCTACTTCGCAGATACATTTTCCACAGTATCACATCCACTGTGCACAGTGGGGCATGGGTTAAGTCAAGTGTTAAAGAGTTTTTGACAGACATCTTCGTCTGGTTCGTCTGGTTTCCGTACGTCTTGTGTCGCAATTTCTTTTTTGTGCTGCTACCCCTTTTATGAGCTCGTTTTTCCGAATCGCTGTTTCTGCTTAGCCTAATATCCAAATAAACATACTTTATCCGCTTTTGCCGTCGAATTTATGGTTTCCTAAACGCCACCCCGCCCGCCGTTGGACTTCCGGAATGGAAATATGAGATGGCAGTGGTGGCTGCGATTTTGATAAGGGTCCCCAGTTTCCCAAGGAAAGCCGATGAATCTATTTTCTCAATGGCTCGACAGCTGGTAAAGTTTATTGGGCGGAGCGATAAGACAAAGGAGAAACTTTCTTTGAAGTTTTTACGCTTGTTACATGTGGTTTCCTGCGGCTTCTTCCACCACGAGTGTCCGATGTGCATTGCCAATTGCAATTAAAACAATGTTACAAGGTCACCGCTTTTTTGCGCAGATAACAGAAATATGCAAAAAGTGGCGCCGCTATCGAAATTGCACATTTTGCACATGTGCCGAAGTGCAGCGCTATGTTGTATGGTATACCAACTTGGCTTTTACACACACATACATACATATCTATGTATGGCTGGCTGTGCACATACATTTGGAATGCAATTGGAAGCGGTGACAACATAATGCCACATTCAGCCCACTCCACCACCATGCAGGCGACAATGGCAGCGGGAAAGGTCCACTTTCCAGGGGAGCCTCTCCTTTGCGCAGGTCCAAAACTGGAAATGAGTTACGTGGTGTCCTTCTGGGGCGGGGAATCCCCTCCCTTTAGGTGTCTGCATGTGTGTGTGCGTGTGCTTCGCAATGGTGGCCGTTCCGTAGGTGTGAATCCTGCAGGGGGAGGGCATTTGTTAGATTGTTAGTGTGAGTGTGAGTGGGAGAGCGCCGGCCGGAGAGAAAGAGAGAGCAAGGACTAAATAGGAATTAACCGCCGCAACAACAAACCTGGAGCAAGCGCATAATTCATATTTCGCAAGCAACGCCCACGCCCACAGTGCGTCTGTGTGCGTGCCCACTTAGGGGTGTGTGTGTGCGTGTGTGCAGGTGCTTTTCAATTATTCTTGGTGAAATGCAACACAATTACAGGTATAGTTATGCGCTTAATGATGGATTCAAATAATGAAAAGGTGCTCTATACATTTTACTATAAAATTCTATTTTAATTAATGCCATCAATTATATATCCTTAAAGATATCTCATAACCTCATATCCTTAAGGGCCTAAAGTACACGAATACCCATGACCTTCTGTTTATATGTCTAACTAAAAGCAAAGAGATTGGAAAACTTCCCAATGAAAGCACTTTCAACATTTAATCATTATAATTTAACAGGAGACATTTGACAGCTTTAATGTTTTCAATAAAATATGGTACTTGCGTTCTATATAAATGTTGCGAAAGGTGTTAAGGCTGCACCTAAACAAATGTACTTTATATGCCAAACACTCCTAGACAGGACAGAAAAGTACACGAAATGCTCGAGATAGTTCTCCTTAAGGAGCCAGGAAATAAAGACATCATTAGAAAATCATGTAGTGCATTAGTCGAGCTGTCGTCGCCACACCCCCATCCAGGACCTGGGATCCCCGCCCACTCCGGGGGCAGCCGCAATTGCCATTATGTTGAACACGCAAGTCAATTGATGCAATTTGTCCGACCAGAGCAGCCAGAGAAGCAAGGAGAGGAGAGTGCCCATTCGGATTGGGACTGGGACTCGGTTTCGGTTTGGGCCAGGGGCAATCCCCAGTGACAATGTGACATGCCGTAACAGGTTCACGGTCTGACGAATAGTGGGTGGTGCCCGGCGGGGTGCAGGGCCGCAATCCGTGCAAGTGGGCTGGAGGGGTGAAACCGACCGCCTGTGCTCATCAACAGTTAGCAGCTTCTGCTGCTGATTTAAGGGTTGCCAGCCAGCCGGCTCGCCCTAAATGAATTGCGGCGATTTATTGCGGTAATACTCATTTAGCGGACCAGCCCCGAGGGGAAAGAACGAATAGAGCGCACTGTAAGGCGAGGAATCAGACTAACAGATACCCAGTACCAAGTATATTTGGTAACAGATGCTGCCGTCAAAGAGAAGCCGCCATTCGACAAACCACCATGTCAAAATACGTGTATTGTATCTTCACTAAAAGCCAGATTTTACCATACTCATTTGTTTTATATAAAAATAATCCTAGCATACCTCTTCTTGCTTAAGGTGAAGTAAAGTCAAGTTTAAGTACCAACACCATAGATAAACTACAATTTCCGGACTTAATATGGATTTCATGAACTCCAACAGTTAGATTCAGACGCAGCATTCATAAATCTCCCCCGGCTCATCACGCCCCTACCTATCAGTACAGGGTATGGAGACCAAGTCGAGTCGAGTTGAGTGCAAACAATGCGCACAATAAAAATAAATCTCTCCGGAACAAGTGTGTGTTTTGTTACACCCGTGGGAAGTCCGGGCGAGAAGTTGTCAATTACTTGCGAATCGATCTGGCCAAGCGCTGTTTTGGCATTCATGTCACCGCCAGGTGAACAGGACCTCCTCGAATAATCGCCCTAATTGGCCGCTTTTAGAGGAGATGCGAATAGCGGGTAGTACGTGATATGCATTTGCAGCTTCTAGGCAATTAATAAGCCAATTCCAGCAATTCGGCGGCCACGTAAATCAGCATTATGTCGGGGCAATGAAAATGAGCTCTAAATTCAATTACAGGTCTTGTCTTCTCCGTTTTCCTAAGTCGCTTTTCATTCCCGCATAAATCAAGAGTCCTGGGCCGCCTGCTCCTGAGATGCCAAATTACCCGGGTCCCGAGATGTCTTAGTAGCTGCTAAGCGGCTTTGGCGCTCATAACTCACCCGGACTCTTTGTCACATTATGCATTTAAATTTAATGTGTAATTTATGGGCGGATTTGTCGACCTTCCCGCCTGCGATGTCTGTTAATTAGAAAATCAGTTCAGAACAGTGTTGCCAGGGGCACGATTTCGCAAGAAAAGCTGTAAAAATAATAGAACATTTACTCGTGCTAAGAAAGTAGAGCTACATAAATAATATGCAATACAATATCAGAAAATGCCTTTACAATTAATCAAGATACTAACAATTAAACTTGTCACATTTTTATATATATTGTTATTTGAAGAAGACAAGCCTAAAATACGATTGCTTAAGAAGGTACCTTGGTGAGCTACACCTCTTGGACAACATTAGTTGCCCCATGCCTTGGAAACTATTTTCAGCAACACTGATATAACCACTCCATTCCCAATGCGTGGGAGTAAGCTTTGCTCTGCCATGATACGTGGGGGGTACTCATTAATTACACTCCATAATGGTTACTTCCGCTGGGCCACATAATAGCATAATTAATCGATATTAAATGAACAGCAGCAGGACAATAAACGCCGGAAGTCAGCCACAAAAGGTTAAATTAAACGAAGTAATTGTTACACAGCCTCAGCCGTTGAAAGTCGACCCCCTCCGGCAGTTTACGAAGTCCTGAGGAGGGTTGTCCTGACTGGGTCCTTTACAACGCATAATAAACAGTCGAGCGGGCACGGAGCAAACAAAAGTGGGGAACGAAGCTCGTTGAGATTTTGATTTTTAAACGGCACGTCGGGGGGTGGTTGTGCAGGCTGGTTGGGATTCAAAAGACAAGGCTGTAAAGCGCACAAAGTCACACGGCAGGTGGCGATGAACATTGGAAGAGTGGGTGGGTGTCGCAGTACACAAAGTGATTTAAATGCATTTCTAATGGGATGAAATTATATACTGTCTGAGCTACCACAAGCTCTCTTCAACTCCATTCCCATTCTTACTGCGATTTGCGGTTTTCAAGGGGCGGACATAAATATGCATGAATTTGCGCTTTTGATGTGCTAGCCATAAAAAACGGATGCCCGAAAAGGGGCACCTTCATCTTAAGCTAAGTGTCTACTAACTTTAACTTAAACTGTACATTTTTTAATTAAAATTTGTCACATAAAATAATAATTAATGCTCTTCGGAGCCACCGTCTTGATAATTTGATGGCCAGCTAAAGCCGCTTAAAATAATTTCAAAACACCAATTTGTGGCTGCCCCATTTCAGGGGTAACATTTAGCATCTTATCAGAGCTTAGCAGCTGGGGTCACCACCCGTCCAGCTACGGAATGTGATTACAGCTTTTGGCGCTCCGGATGAATTTTCAGCGGGCTCAGGTGTCCATTTGGCGGGGAAATATTTAACTCCAAGCTCCGAATTGCAGGACCATAGGTATAGCGATGCAGATGCTTTGAACGAGCTCTAAACTCATCTTCTGACCCAGGAAAACTGATAATTTCGTGCACCAAGTGAGGTTCGGGAACATAGAAGTCATCGCCTAAGGTAAATAATCATTTCAGAAACTAATTTGGGTAATTGAATGAATGGTCATAGAATTTACCAGGTAAGACAAAAACCATAGAACCCTGGCAGTTATAGCCAACCGGCAAGTACATGGTCGTGCCCAATCCGCTGCGCTTGATTGCAAACTCCAACAGACGTTGGTACTCCTTGATGCCCATCAACCGGGACAATTCGTAGACCTGTGGTGGCATGAACCAAACATTGCCCAAATTACCCAGACGCAGCAGTTCGAACGGTGACAGCCACTATATAAGTATATAATTCTATTATACTGAATATGGAGTTTAAAGAGCTAGCCTTACCAGCGTTTCCTTGACCTCAGAAGGTTCTTCCAGTAATTTGGGTTGCTTGTCCACAAAAGCCATGAAGAAAACGGTTTCATGCCTGCACATTGCAATAAAAACTATATTAGGAACAAGAAGCTTACCTTACTACAATTAAGATCATTTTGTGTCCCCATACCCACCCTTTGCGCATGAATCCCGGACTCGCCCAAGCAGACCACTCATGCAGCGCCCACAAGTCTGGAACTACCTTTTGCTCACGACAGAGGGTTAAGAACTCAGTGGGCTTGTTGTGCACCCTTCGCTGCCACGTTTCCAGGTCTAAGACATCCTGAGCGCAAGTTACCGCACCGAAATTCAGCTGACTCCGGCTCCGACAAAGTAGCAGACCGACCTCCTCAAAGCATTCCCTCACGGCGGTTAGTCGCAGTGTAATCTCTCTACAAAGACAAAGGTCATAGATTAACTGCCAGTGTGACAGAGTTTAGCGCAACCTTTGGACTCACCGAGCCCAAATGCGAGAACGCTCGAAGAACCGATCGTAGCAGCCAGTGCCCTGAGGCGCCAGAATGGCAGGACGATCGTCGCGGGTGAGAACCAGGCGGCGTAGTGCCTCTTTTGGAACACCGAATTCCTCGAGGTACTGCAGCCATGCTACGCTTTCATCCGCTTCGGTGTCCAGGAGGCCACCGGGAAACACCGTCTGATTGACCACCATCGCCGTGGCATCGCTGCGTTTCAGCATAAGCACCTGAAAGGTCAGGATTATGGTTTATCCACTTCTGGGAATGGCCTCTTCACTTTCCTTGTAATCTTCGCTATTGGCAGCGTCTCTGGACACCAGGATTACACTGGCTGAGGTGCGCCACTTGGTAGGAGGAGCAGCTTTGCTCATGTCTGCAGATATTTTGCTAAATGATTAGCTTAACTCTAATTCTACCTATGTTACAATGAAAACAAAATCAAAAGGTTATTTTGTTCCCTCCAATCAGCTGATTGGTCGATAGGCACGATAACGACTCCTGTGGCACAAAATGATCGATAGTCGCCTAAACAAAGCGCTGAATTTTTAAAGTTTGAGTTCGTGCGAATTTCAAACTTTGACTTTTTAGCGAGATTACGATGAAGAAACAAGCAAGAAGGGCAAAAACGTAAACAGATTAGTTCCATCCCACACGTGTTTGCAAACATATTTAAGCGCTGCCCTCGGACATCGAAAGACACTTGCAATTGGTGTTTCCAGTCTAAAGCAACTTGCAGTTGAAATGAAATTACTGATCACGTTCTTCTTTCTGGGCGTCTGCCTCTGTCGCATTCAAGCGAAAGAGAGCATCGCTGATCTCCTGAAGGACAATGCGAAAGGCGTAGAGGAGGCCAATAAGTTTTTGACCAGGATTGCTCAAGTAAGCGAGGAGACCCAGGTCGGTTTGGCGGAGCAAAAGGAGGCACTGAAGGTCTTGACACTCGTGGAGGACGTGCTAGCAAAGTTAACTGCTGCTCTGGATGTTGGCTCCCGCAATCTTGTTGCTACCCTTGAGAACATCTCCAAGCAGGGTGAGGAATACAGCAATCGAACGGAGGCACAACTACTGGAACTGATCCGCCTGCAGGAGGGCACCAAGGAGATACTCAATGTGCTGGATGCTAAAATGGATGCCTATCAGAGGCATGTGCTCCACAGTTCCCGTCGTATTGACGGCAGCATCGACGGGCTGGCCAAACTTATTACTAGGACGGTGTTGCCACAATTAAATGGCCTGAAGTGTACCTTCGATAGCTTGGAGACCTCCCAAATCAACGTCGAGGTGGAGCTGAAGACTTTGGCCGGAGTCAAGGAGCTCAGTGAGAACTCCAACCTCAAGCTGGACGCGCTGGAGCAGCAATTGAAGCAGCAAAATCGCACTCAGGAGCAGCGCCTGGTCCTCCTAATCGATGCAGTGAAGCATTTGCAACCTCACAGTTCCTGGAAAGTGGAGGCTGTCCTCCGCGAACTGATCATCTCCCAGAAACGCATCGAGCTGGGTCTGGAACAGTGCAGCCGGCACCAGCCCCATCCGCAGTATGGCCAAGACGAGTCCTACCTGCCCACCTACGGAGCTGAGGTCCCGGAGTCGCAGTATGCTCATCCCAAGCCCAAGCCAGTGGAACTGGAACAGGTGTGGAGCATCAAGGAAGAGCCCAAACACGGTAAGTTGTCCTGATTGGCACCAGACTAGGATCAGAAATGAATTTCTTGCCATTCACAGGAGAGCACTCTGGAAATCACAAAGCTACCGCCTATGCTCAGTCCCCCGAGCCAAAGAATAACTATCAGAGCTCCAGCGCCGTGTCCTGGCGGCAGTCGGTGCCCTGGGAGTACGTCTCACCATATCAGTCCGCCCCAGTTGACCACCGCCAGCCATGGAACCCAGCTCCTGCCCACGGTGCCAGCTCCGATGCCAAGCCAAAGCAATGTCCCAAGAAAGAGCACTCCACTCCGGCATCCTACGTTCCATTGTCACATGACCAGCCTGCGTCCTACAAGCTTCCTGTGGATTATAATCCCAAGCCTAACCACGAGGACTCCCATAAGCCCCATCATGAACCAAAATCTTACAGTGACGAAATCATCCAGCCAGGAGAGTCCTTCAAAATTTGGTATTGAGACAGTTCTCCCCCTCAAGGATACTAAAGAGTTAACGAAAGATTTCACTACAACAAATACTGCTGCCGAGACCGATACAACTTTTCAAAACATTTAAAAAAAACTTTTATTGGACTTTCACTACTTCGTTTTTATAAATAAATAATTTGTTTGTTTTTATAAATAAATAAAAAAAAGAACAATAGAAATCAATTCTGTACATTTTTCTTAACAAGGATTTAATCAATATCTTGGATAAATAGATATAGTAACATGGAAATCATATGCTTTAACGCATAACATCGAAAGCTTATATGATAGCTTACATTAATTTACCATAGATTTTCTGAAAATCTTAACATAATACGAGCTTTTTGGCATTGAAAAACAACTTAAACGAAGAAATTTTTAGTTGTTTTATTTTCATATATGTAGCTAGTAAAATAAACCGTAAACCATAAAACAATAATCCTTAAGCAATTGTGCTATCGTGTGTTATTGTTTTAATTTATAATAAGCGTTATTTAAAAATGGACAGCAAATGATGCAAATTTAATGAAACTTTTTGAAATATATAAGGGTTCTTAGGTAATATATAAAAAGCATTAGGGTAATAATACTGCCTTCCAAAAAGGATTGAAATCTTGAATTTCTGAACCGTTCTGGAGATATTCCTGGTGAACGCCAGCGTGGCTGAAAAAATTTGATTCGTTATCAGTACCGTCGTAGACCTATTTTCTGAATGAGTTTGCTCAAGAAGCAGCTGGGGCACGTCTTTCAGTAGTAATATTACTACCGTAACATACAAAAAACCAGGTCAATCAGTTCTGTTTAAAAACAAAGAAGAATTTCAAAACGTGACAATCTCCGGAGTTTAGCAAAAAGCCGATGAACCAGTAATTATTTAGAATGACAGCATATAACATAGTTCGCTTTGGTGTATTTGCAGCTATAAGATAGTATCAAAACACTTGTTCGCGACTATCTTCTAAGCTGGACAATATAGTGTAGTATGGAAATTCTCGTAAACACACAATTACAGATTGGAGCAACATTTGCAGCTGCACCCACTGAAGTGAAGTGGGTGGTTGATACAACCTTAACTCAGTCTAAGACACGTTTTGAACCTTAAGTTGGGCTATTTAAGTTGCGGCTCGGATCGCCAAGAGACACACAGCGCTGAGCGGCCATCAGAGAAACACCATGAAAGTGCAACTGACTTTGCTAACGATATGCATTTACCTATGCTGTGCTGCAGCAGAGGATTCCCATGCGGACCATGAGATCCGCAGCGAAGTAGAGAAGCTTATCAAAGGTACTGAAGAGCTACACCATGGGCTGCAAGAAGTGAAAGACGTGCAGAAGGGCATTGAAGAGAAGTTCAAGCATCAGCGCGACGAGATCGAAGTCATTGCAGGATTGGAGGTTGCCATTGCCAAGCTGGAAAGCAACGTTCTAAGCAGCTTCCAAGCTACGGCTACCGGAGTGGGAAATTTGACAGCCATTGCTAAGGCAATCCAGAGTCAAAATGAAAAGTCTATTGAGGATTTCACCAAAGTGGATCTAGAGATCAGGAGAGCCCTGGGTCAAGTGGATGCCGATCAAAACAAATACGAGCGGAGCCTTAATGAGGTGACCTCATCCGTCAACTCGAATCTGGCGGAGATTCAGCAGCTACTATCGCAGGCCATCATAGGGGAACTCATCGACTTGGACAACAAGGCGAAGGTCCTTCAGGAGCAGCAAAGCAATATCGTGGGTCAAGTTGGATATCTGGGCGAGCTGAAGTCCCTGGCAGATCGTGCCAATCGCAAAGTCAATCAATTGGAGTGGGGTCTGGTCATACTCAACCGCACCCAGTCCGAGAACCTAAACAGTATCGAGCACTCTGTCCATGGACTGCAGTTGGCCACCTCCCAGGTCGATCATAAACTTTGTGCCCTACTTAACAACCAAAAGAACATTGAAAGATCATTGGATGGCTGCAAGCACATAATTCCGTCACAACCGAAGCCTCACGAGATCTGGACTCACCCGGAACAGGCACTAATTAACCAGTAAGTTTGCAAGCCCCACTTTTGGATGCACATTAAAACCATCTATTCCGTTTAAGGCAAGAATCAGAGGGAAATCAAGGATACGCAAGCAGCTATGCTTCCCAAGAAGACGCTGAATACCTTTACAAACTCTGGTATGGAAAAGGACAGTAGCATTAATACGATAACTAAAGATATATGCTGTATACCATATTTAAAATTTGTCTGATTTTTTGATTCTTACTACCTGGTATTCAAACATGTTATAGCAAAGATAATAGTTCTTTAACACAATGCAATAAACAAAACTAAATAAACAAAATCGAACTTTATAATTCATATATAACTAAGAACGTAATAAAAAAGTTTTAATATTACAATTTTTAATATTACTTGTCGGACAACTCATAAACCTAGATAAATGCACATGACATAAAGGATACTGGCTTTTCCTCTATAATTTGGTTGGATCCAGTGGATGAACCTGACCATCATCCCGGTTAAAGTTAATTATCAGCTGTGACTGATACTGGTTCCAGTGCTCCGATCGATGTAATTTAGCATTCGCCTGCGAACGGAATTCCTCGACTGATAAACCGATTTCAATTTTATCGGTAGTTGCATCCGGATCGCCGGGATAACCTTCATCTCCTGGCAAGAGGTGCACAACTCCATTTTTACACTTGTACATTACAGGATGGATCAGCTGAATGCCTTTGACCTCACGCTCTGCTGCAAATTGACGCAGATTTTCTAAGGAGGAGAAGTTTAGGCAACGAGAAAGTTCATAGAATTGTGGAGGCGGCAGCCAGAGTTCTTTCCTTAGGCTCGCTTGAAGGTATTCCAATGGGGAGCGCCACTAGAATAACATATGATAGTTCATTAAATGCAACTTATGTTCCGGGTAACGCTTTTGTTTCATATAACAGCGGGTCCACCTACCGCACAATCCTTAACCTCATTGGGTTCGATATGAACGCTGGGTTCCTGTTCCAGGGCAGTCATAAAGAAAGCCGTCTCGAAACGCTTTTTAAACGTGGACGGCGTTCTCCAGACGGACCACTCGTGAAGTGACCAAACATCCGGTAGCACATCAAGCTGCTTACAGAGCTCCAGGAATTGGCTGGCATTGTTGTGGACGATGTGCTGCCAGTGGGCGCGATCAAACTGATCATAGAACCCTCCATAACCGCTAGTGGAGGTCAATGATTTGCTGTCCCTGCACAGCAGGATGCCCAACTCCTCGAAGGTTTCCCGTATGGCTGTTAGCCGCAGTGCTAGGGAACTATTAGGTGCGAAAAGAAAGTTACAACACAAATTTCCCAAAAAAGCTATTTTAGTCTCATACGGATCAAGCGATTCCTTATCTGCCTTGGGGTGGAAAATATCCGGACGTGGCCCCTTTACACGGCTTACGTTCCGCAGCTTAACGGCACTGATCTCGTTTCGCTGAAAGTGATCCAACCAGGCAGGCGAACTGTCCGAGGCATCGCACACTCCGCCAGGAAACACCGATGACTCCGGCATGAAAGTGGACTTCTGCGTTCGTGTAAGGAGGAGAGCCTAGTCGAAGAATTCATTACGTCAGCATGGTTAAGTTAAATTAAAGTTAAACTGTAACTCACATTGTAATCGCAGGACGTGGCCTTTTCAACTTGGTTCTTAGCCAGCAGGATTAAACTTGAGGAGGAACGAATTTTGGGCAAAAGCTTTGACATGTTTAGGTAACACAGCGATATCGATAGAGTAGGCGCTAATATCGATTACTCACCAGCTGATTTTGTTTACCCTTATCAAATACCACCTGTTGAAAGTAAAGCGGTGGGGTATAATGTTTCATCTGAAATTCATTTAAATTTATCATTGTGTTGAGCATATAAAATGTTATGGTAAAGTCCCAGTAAACCATTACAAGATTTATAGAAACTGCAGTTTTATTTAAAGGTTTATTTATATGAGCACTTTTTTTATTTACTGAAATCAATTAAATATTTAATGTTCCTAATTAATTCAGGGGTATCTCAGGTTCGAGTCTGTTAACTAATGCGTTAAACATTAACAACAACAAGAGCAACAGCTCTTATAGCTTTGAAACTTAAGATCAAAGGTTTGAAAAATTGGATCGCGGAATTAAATGGGCCTGGACTTTTAACTATGACAAATACTAAAACTGGAACTTATAGACCTTCGGCTAGCCTAATAATAGCCGCCAAGGAGGATTCCTTAGAGGATTACGACTACAGAGTATGTTAAGAGTATAGATACATATAAGTTACAACCATATGCTGAATGCCTGCTTTTTTCTAAAGTTATTATTGATCAAACGAACTGAAGGAACTTCCTATGCTTTGAACCATTGTGTCTTTCCTGGCGGCGTCTTCGATCCCAAAGAGGATCAATCTGCAAAATGGATAACTTTTTTTAAATCCTTTGGTGTGACCGATGAACAATTAAAAATGAGTATCCACAATCAGGATTCGCCAAGGCCGGAGTTTCTGTCCGGAGGGGACCATTTTTCAAAGGACATTGCACTGCGACTGACTGCGCTCAGGGAAACCTTTGAAGAGGTGGGCATCTTGATTTGCACCGATCAGGATCACTTACAAAAATGGGATTCTAAATCAGGTCATCCTAGGACCTTGCTTCTCGAGCCAAGCGAACGCTCCGAATGGCAACATCGGGTTCACAATGATGCCTCGCAATTCCTTGAACTCTTCAGGCATCATAAAGTCATACCCAATATCTGGGCTCTTCTGGAATTTTCCATTTGGAGGACAGCAGCCACTGCCAATCGGAAATATGACACTGTTTATTATATCACCATGTTGGATGATTGCACCAAGAATATAAATCTGCTTTTGGAATCGCACGAGGTGGCTTCATCCCACTGGATGAGTCCGACCGAGGCATGGTCAAGCTCCCAAAAAGGCATAATTTGGCTCCCGTTCATGCTGCTCTATGACATCGCTCGTCTGATGAACTTATGTAGTCTTAAGGAGCTCCTCAATTTTTCCCGCCAAAGGAGCTACAAAGGAAGCACAATGGTGCAGCCCGTTTACTATCGCTGCGATGATTGCATGTTTGGAGTACTTCCTGGTGATGAACTCTATCCTAAGGAGCCAGGCGCTTGTACGCAGACAATTGTCTTGTCGGGGTCGGTGGACACCATTCATCAAAAGACCAAGCAATACAATCGCTATATCGTATACGACTTCCACAAAGTCGTACTGGCCTCTAATGTACCGCCACGCGATGGACATCTGCCACTGCATCCACTCGTCAGTAACAAGCTAGCCAAGTTGTAGTAATATAATATAGTATGAATAAAAAATATATATATTTTCTTTTGAGCTACAACAAGTTACCGCTTTCCAACTCGGCCTGTATGGCGCGGCAAGCGTGACACAGCCCATCCTGCATCTCCAGTCGCTTCTTGGCCAAGCTCTCGAGATCTTGTCCGTTTTTGTACAGACTCACGCCGGCCTCTGAAACAGATCTGGAGTACTCGATTGCCAACAGAGTGTCGGATAGTTCGGAGTCCAGCGCAGATTGACAGTGAACACAAGTGGCCTGCTCTGGATCGGAATTGACAGCTATTTTGTCACCCGTTCGGAACACGGTGGATACTGTGGAGGCGTAGTTATGCTGCAGATTGGCCACAAAGGCTGATGTAAGGTTCTGTAAGCTGGCAGTAGGTCCACGCTCCATACCATAATGTGAGCCGCTTTGGAAAAGTGGCTTCAGTCGCTGTGCATGTATGTAAAATTGAATCTCCTGCTCGCTTAGGTCCTTCAGGGGTCGCAGCAGCTTAACATCTCCAGACAGCCGATCGTCGAGGAGAGCCACATCCAAAGCGGCACTGGCGCCACGACCTAGCGCTATTGCAGTCAGCAGCTGGGTTGCTAAGTCCACACTTATGTTAGGTTCAAAGACGTGAGTACATTGCAGACTCTGGGCCACCGAACAGATCAGGTTCTTGCGCTGTTGCTGAAGGTAATCCTGGCGAGCTGTCAGACTCTGCAGTTTCTGGAGCTTGTGAATAAGCTCGTTGTTTGCCTTGAGGGAAGGACTGTAATCCTTGATCCGCTGCAAGGAGCACCCTTGTCCCAGTTCAATCACATAGAAATCGAAGGGCGCGTATTGTACCGATAAGCTCAGAAGAGCTTCCAAATCTACAGGATCGCGGTCTTGCACTTGCTGCTCCTCCACGTAGACCACACGTGCATTGCAATGGAGTCTTTTAAATTGGTTCTGTGTTTGTGCAAAGTGTAACATGTCGAGCAGCACGAGCGATTTCGCAGAGCCGTCCAGGACAAGGAGCACCTCTGCGTTTCTTGGCAGAATCTTGGCTGCTCCCAGAGCTGCCCGGAACTTGTGCCTCGCGTACGTCAAAAAGCATTCCCGGCACTCCGCTGCCCGGAAGTTAAGTTTGTAGAGCTCGCCGGAGTTTACATCGCATTTGCTGCAATTTCCGGGACTAAGGACGATTCCCAATGGTAGGGCTTCTACGACCATGGCATGGGCGGCGCCCTCGTCTCCAAAGTCATCTTCACCAATGCTGCACATGGCAATAATTTACGTCTAATACACAACAAAAAGAATTTCGTAGATAAACGAAATTACCAGGGTTGAAAGCGGTTTGAAATGTATTGAGACAAATTAGCCGAATTCTAGCTAAATTCCGAACCTTTATAGGGTGTATAAATAAGCCAGTATGCCCACGTTTTCTTATCGCATAAATCCAAAATAATTTATAAAATTAATTTCTTGAGCAGCAGCACAAACACTAAACATATTCAATTTACATTTCTTATATTCTCGTTCTTTAGCTGTATAAATAATAGCCGATAGCTGTCAGCACTATTTCGAGGGCATTTGGTAAGGCTATCGATATTCATTGAAAAATATCGACTACGCAGCCTAGACTCGTCAAAAGCAACCTTGCAACAGGAAAAGTGCAGTGAAAATTACAAAAAATAGCTGTTTAAACTACAATTTGTTGTACAAATCATATAATTAAGATATATTTAAGGCTTGAGGTACGTGACTTTGGAGTTTGTGTTGAAAAAAGGTTTCTAAAAACCCAAGAAATTTGGGCGCAAAAAACTGGGTGCTTCTAATAAGTATGTATGTGAGTGGTGCGTGCCTGTGTGTTTGTACGTGCTGTGTGGCTG